GGTCGCTGCTGGGCTGCTGCAACTTGATGGCAAGCGTGTGCTGCCAGCAGTGCTTCCAGCCTGGAGTGCGGCTGACTCTGTGACAGCAATCACATACATCACATCTCGTTTTGTCAGATTTCGTCAAGCGGCCCGAGAGGCTTCACACTTCTTGTCTTTGCCCATGGGTCCTGCACTGCTGTGACACTGCAGAACTCGCACAAACGATATTTTCAACACAAACGAACAGAAAAAAGGGCAGGGTGCAGATCCTGGACTCGCCCGGGGCCACTTTGCTTTGAGCTGCCGAAGCTTCATTGAGATTCCCTCGCGTGCAAGAGGCCCACCGGCACTTTCATGATTGAGCGCTTCGAAGCAAGCAAACTTGCCTCTAGGATGTGCCTGCGAGATTCGCATGAACTTTCCGAGAAGATGAACACCTGCAGCCAGTGCTGCAGGTGTGCACACTGCGGGCAATAGAAGGCCAGAAGAGGTAACACTTAACTACGACTTTCGGTTGTGGCACAAGTTCCGTCCTCACATGCCGCCTGCGCTGCTGTATCGGGGGCAAAAGGTGTCCTGCCAGCCAGCTTTATACTGAACCCCTGAGACTCATTTTACCCAGAATCACTTGAGAACGCTTATCCTGCCAGGAGATCTGCCAACTTGATGGGTTGGGGTCAAGTTTTGCATCGCCTTGGGAGAAAAAAACGATACAACAATATACAACATGATACAGCACGGCTGTTGGGCTCTGACAAATGAACAGAGCCTCGAGGCAAGGCGCTTTACCCAACTGTGGCAAGGACTCTTCGGTCGGACGAGACCGCCTCCTAAGCCGCAGCGGAGCTTGCTTCCATGTTACACTTATTTATAATAACTATGGATTATATATATAAAAACATGTATATGTGTATGTATATGTGTATGTATATGTGTATGTATATGTGTATGTATATGTAACTGTATATGTATAATATATATATATATATGCACACTTTGAAAACGCAATCGAAGAATTTAAGAATATTTGAATATGATATGGTTTCATTGTGTCACACGATGCAAAATGCAGACCGCAGCCTTCAAGCTAAAGCTGCCGTCAAGCTTCACGATTGGAAGCGTAAGCTGTTTTCGAGCTTCCCCCTCACCTGGGCCAAGCAACCGGCGCTGAAGCATCAACCTCCTCATACTATGGATCATGGACTCCTTCATCTGCTTCCATGTGGCGGGCAAGAAGGACGGGGATATCATCCTTTACTGGCCCGAGTGCCTTCTGAGAACGGACTGAGACCATGGTTACCTCAGGAAAGTGGGAGCTTACCAGCATGGCTGATGCAAGTACACCCAACCTCTGCAGGACGCTAGGAACAAACCTGGTTCGGCAGTCCGACTATGCTCGACTTCACTTTGAGTTGAGGGGCTTTGTCCCGGCACTGCCGGTGCGGCTTCAGCTCCATACATTCGCAAGCGCCCATGGCTTGCGAGCACTTGGATGTTTGGCCGTCTTTTGACAGATTTGAGAAATGACAATGGGTATTGCGATCTGGTTCAAAACCTGCTTGCATTTCGAGCCGAGTCCCTTCAATGACGCAGTGGCAACCGAAAGTTGCAGGTGGCACTGGTGAGTTAGTCCACATGTGTTTGAGGGATGTCACCACAGAATTCTGCCCGCGTCCTCGTCGGAATGTGGGAGCTTCGTCTCCGTCAGATTCAAAGGACCATGCAGTCTCCACAGCTGTAGCCTAGTCGCTGGCAATGGGAGGTTGATTGGTGCTCCACTGTGCTTGCATCAAGCTTGTAATACTTGACCAGCGGCTGGCGGTATCCCCCTCGTGGCCAACCTGGGCCTGATTGCCGAAGCCTTACCTGTGCAGAGCTGCGCAGCTGACATGCTCCGCGTGCACCGCAAGGGAATAGAGCCTTGAAGCGGACGAAGTGTGACTCCTATAAGCAAAATCGCATGGACAGGTTGCTTGTGCTCACATCAGGCGACGCAACTCTGCTGAACAGGAAGCGTTTGGCGCAACGTCCATGCAGTCCATGCATGTCTCGGGCATCCTCGTCACGAACCCAAGCAGAGAACGAGGCGGAGATGCCACCGCTGCAGCCTGGTCAGCACAGGCAGACGTGTTTGTCAAACAAGTCTTGTGCACACGGTCTACAAGTTGACGATGGACAAGAGATTACTTCAGGCCTTGGATTTTACACATCGGCATGGCTTGGGTTTTGCAGTGCTGGGGATCCGAGTTCAAAATGTAGCGGGCTCCACGACTGAATTACAAGATGCTGGCAGGCCGATGGCATGCCAAGACGTACTTGCGTACTTGAAAAGCTGAAATCCTTATAATGCGAACCCGCAACAACACTGAAAGTCCCATCAACACCAACCCGCTCGGAAGACATCTGCACTCCCTTCAGACGGCTATCCTGAATGAAACCGGTCCGTCGCCATCTAGTCTATTAGGCCAACTAAGGCACCAGGTCCGGCAGCCGAGGTGTTAACTGAGCTTCTGCTGCCGAGGACCAAGCTCAGATTGAACGTAAGCGAGAGGTTCAAGGCATCTTGGCTCACTGCCTCGCGTAATGAAGTACTCAACTACTCAATCAGAGATCCCCAGGTGCTGATGCCCAAGTCGGAGCCTGTAGACCACAGCCCAAGTCCTGACTAAGGACTACCAAAGGTGTGTTATGAATGAGCAGCAGAACGTTTGAAGCTCCTGACGCGAGGGAAGCAAGTGGAAGAGTGGAGAGGCCTGCACCTCACACCATTTGAGAATGACATTCAGCTTCGACGAGCTTCACTGACATTTACCTTGGTGCCGGACAGGCAGGCTTGCAAACTCTGATGATTGGCCACTTCCGAGTGCTTCAAAGGTCTGCCACTGCAGCTGGGGCCTCCGAAAGCAACAGCTGATGAACATGAGGTGTCGTTTGCAAAGGCTTCGGTACGCCGGTAGTTTGAATACAAGCCGGCAAGCTTGTCAGTGAAAACGGCGCGGACTCGATGGCTTCGCACCTGCTGATATCGACGTGTTCTCTTGACCATGCGTTGCAGCACAGCACAGCACCACCTCCCAGCAGCAAGTTCCGCCCTCCACGTGGCCATCTAGGTCATGGGCAGGGAAAAGCTTTGTACACACACACACACGCACACACAAGTTTGCAAGGGCCATTCTTTTGATTTACTCCGTGAATGACAATGAAGTATATGGTTGAGTCTGCTTTCACGGTGTGCTTATTTGACCTTCCCTCGTGCATAAAGCTGAGAAGCCCGCCGCACTTGCCGCATGGATGTGCTGCACCAGGAGCAAGCGTAGAAGCACTTGCCGGCAAAGAGCCCCTGACAAAATCAAGTTCAAGTTCCAGGCATGGCATGACAGCAACGCGACATAAATTTGGCTTCCGGATGAGCTTGAACAGATTCGTAAAGAAGGCCCTGATGATCGATTGAGTGTTTGGATGTGTTTGGCAACTGTTCAGTGCCTGCTTGGCCGAACCAAGAGCTGTCCGATGCGCGAGTCCACAACCTTCCACAGACTAAATTCAAAAGTGCCAGAGTTCCGCTGCGGTTGTGCCAATTGTCACCCCAGTGAGCCTTCGCGCCGGCCAGAAAGCCGCGCTCCCGGCTGCTTGCCTCCTCATGCCCATGCCGCGCCAAACACCGGAAAAGCGGAGCATGTGCGGGTGAGTAGGTGCAATTGACGCTGCGCTCAGTTGCTAGCTTCTTAACCTTAGGCATTAACTCAGGCTGACCAGCTTCACTGACCCATAGCTTCAAGTGAACAATGAAATCAAAGGCCACCTCACCCGCACGTGTGCCTGCTGCCACAGTGTGTCTGTGTGTGAGGCACTGTCCGCTACATGCCTTCAAATTTTCTGAACATTGCAGGGTTATGCATGAAGTCGTGCGCCATATTCGCTGAGAAAACGCACCTCCAACAGCAAAAGTTGGAACCTTTTTAAATATTCAATCCTGATTGTAATGAATGAGCGAGACAATCAGGACATGCTCTGTAGCTTCAAAAATTGTTCCAGACATGCATTGGTCAGATCTCAAATGCCAGATATCGGGAACCCTCTCATCAAAGACAAGCTACTTGGTTCAGTGTTCACGAAGCGAACAACGGCCTGCTGAAACCAAAATGCACACCACAGCACTCTACATAAACGAGTGGGGGAACAAGGCGTCAGGAGACTACTACATCTGTGCGCCAGATTGTGCGGTAATCATAATACAACACCTCACGTAACCTTCCGACGAGCTCTCTTCCATCGCACGAATGCTTACAGCGTGTGTTGACACTTACATGACCTCTGGCATACCCAACACACCAGGTGTGCGTGTCTGTGTGCGCTCGCTGCGCGCGTGTTGCAAAGCTTTCCGAGTATGAACGTGAACGTGTGCAGCACTTGAAGTCAAGTCCGGCTCCTGCTGCACCAAGAACAAGTACAAAACCAGGCAAGCCTCAGCAGCGCAAGTGCCCTTCACATTGAGAATGGTAATGACTTAATGTTTTTGCAAACCGAAGTGAGGAGCCCAAACCACCAGAACGAGAAGGATCGCGTTCCGAGTCAAGGGGCCTCAGCAACGGCAAACTGTTCTGCTGCGCGCATTTGTGGGAAGACAAAAAACAGGTGCCAGAAAGACGAAATCAGCTTAGGTGCTCCATGCCATGACAATCCGATATCGACAGCAACTACACAGCGGACCATCGTCTGATCCACAGAGTTTCTACTGCCTGCTCTACTTCAGCTGGGCTGCTGTTCCTGACATGGCCAGTTCACAGTCAGAGTGAACATTCTAGTTTACATATTCGAGCTACTTGCCTCTTTCTTCTCCGTGAGTATTGTGCATGCAGCTCTCTGTCGTGCCATTCCTGCCTTTCTCCAGAAACATGAAACATGTCAGATGCATGGCAATGTCTATTCAGCCTTGCAGGCTTGGGCGCAAGTGCATCGATCAGCAGCGATTAAAGTGCGAACCAGTGCTGTTGACGCTGGAGTGAGTGCATATGGGCCTGTGGGACCTTTGCATCGCGAGTTGCCCTGGCCAAGTTGCAACGAATTCAGTGAAAGCAACGTCTGAATCAGTCAAGCTCCGTCATGTTGCAATGTAAGGGTGTACGTAGCTCACGCACATGAAACACCAGCACCATCCAGCACCTCCCACAGCTGCAAGCACATCAAGCTGCCACACGTAGTGGCCTGGCGAGAACAGCCGTGCAGGTATCTTGTAAATAGCACCTGCGTGAGAATGGAACCTCCTTGGACTTCATGCCGCTTTTCACAGCAGGCTCTGCAATACTACCTGGGGCAACTGATGAGATGCGGCTGTATGCATTCTGCCGGAAACCTCCAAACCCAACTTCTGCTCAAAAACGGCCGCAAGCTCAGCGCCCTGCTGGAGTCCCATGGGTTCAGCGCGTTGTTGAACTGAGCAGGCCAGCTGGAACCTGAGCAGTCCCTTCGAGAATGCGGTCTGTCGGACACCGATGACGCGCCTTCATGGTGATCTTGTTGTGTCGGCTTCGGGGGACCAGGCATCACCATCTGTGCCAACACCTCATGCCATCTTTAAGCTGGCAAACCGAAGCAACAGAGAATGTGCAACCTCTATCAAATTGAGTTGCTTCTTGTTTTAGCTTTTCAGTTCTCGAGTTGGAGAGACCATGGAGAGGTGCTCGGACCCCGGGTATACCTGTTACCTGGAATTGAATAGTTGGGGAAAGATGAGGAACAATTTACGCAAGGCCGCAACGTCCCAAGCCCTGAGCCCTGTGGCAGGAGGCGTGAGAGACCAGGGACCGACAGCTCCCATGGAGTCCCCTTTTCAAGCATCGATTCGATGATTCACACATCGCACATCGCAAGCTGGCGAGAGGCCTGCGCAGTTCAAGCACGAAATCTCCTTGTGGGTTTAAGCTTCAGCAGTCTCAATTTCAGGGCAACCACGCAGTAAGAAAGAAAATTATCATGCGCCTGTGGTTGCGTGGATGTGCAGGCAGGCGTCTACTGTACAGATCTAATTGGGTCGTCATGACCTTGATACAGAAACTGTACGGACAGAGAGATACAGGGCCAATGCGACACGCCAGCCGCCAGTCTATTGCGCAAGAGCCAGGCGTGCAGCGGCTCACGGGCTGCTTCCGAGTACACTGATCCAACTCTAGGCGCCTAAGGACGCTAACTGTTGACGCTCAAGTTTCGGCTACAACCATGGAATCCCAACGAATAGGCTCGAATCTCGAAGTTTGAAGAACCGCAATAGCCACAGCAAAGCAAGAAATGTTGGATGCCTTCATCTGCAAGAATTGTGCATGCAAACAAGCGGCATGCAAGGGCTGAATTCGTGTGACTTCGCTACTGCAGCGGAATGCACGCTCGTCCGCGACATGTGACCTGCCGCAGAGCTGTGTTTGGCTCATGAGCTCAAACAGAGCGACGGAGCGTTTCCAATGCCTGGCTCAGGGTTCGTTGGAATGGATCGCTGTCCAAACGGCACGAAGCTACACCGACTAGGGCTCCGAAGGACATCTTGGCCATTACTTTGCCAATCTTGCGAGTCTTGCGAGTCTTGCGGTCCAGCTCGGCAACCTCGGATTCCCCGTAAATCCGCAGCTCCTGCTCAAAGATGTCAAAGACTGTTTTTGCCTTGTTGGTCATGCCAGTCTCCTCCGCACGGATGCGCAGGAAGTGCAACACCAATGCGCAAAGCTGTGCCTTCGTCATCGTGGCCATCGTGGTGCGGTGACTCGGGTCCAACTTGACTTGGCGGGCAGCCGAGTGCTGGTGATGGCAATAGTCGCAAGCGGCACCGTCGTGGCAGAAGCCCCTGTTGAAATGCACGCGCGGCGGCACACCTCAGGATGCCCGATGGCCCCCTTCGCTGGAGGTGCCAGGTGGCCCAGGTACCAGGCCAAGCAAGAAAAGCATGGGACTTATGGAGCTGGTCATGGAAATCTGGCCTCTTCCAGCAACTCCTTGACCCTCTGGGGCAGGTTGTCCACATGGCATCTCTGCTCCCTCTCCTCAACCAGGGCATCGCACTCCTGCATCCTGCACCTCCTGTAGATAGCTGGAGCACTGGCCGAACGCACGCCGGGTCCAAGGTCCCACGATATTCAAGCTCCAATGCCATTAGGCGGATATGCACAAGTTGGTGGCACAACTGCCTGCAGTGGCCCACAAGAAGTGCTAGCAGGACTCCTTTGACGAGAGATGGTTGGCTCGCTACAATGCCCTCACGCAACTCGAGCCACAGCCGTTTTCAGTCGATAGCATACACGTGTGACTTCTACGACTGTTGTACTGGTAGCATGTGAGGCTCCTGCCGACAAGTCAGGGGCCACGGCGTCCACGGGGCAGGCTACCTCGGCAAGTCATGACAAGTCTGAGTCCAACGTTGAGATGCGCAAATTGCACGCGAAGCTAACGTGTCTCAAAACACTTGAAATCATAACCATCCATCAGGACGTGAACACAAGGACGCCAGAGAACATCCAAGGGTCAAATTCAACATGGCTGCACACCAGTTATGTTATCAGAGTTGCGTGGCAAGAGGGCAGTGCAAACTAAGTCGATTTTCCAGCACGGCATGCAAGCTCTAAACAACCTTGCCCTTGGTGGGTTTCTTCCAGGTTTTGTGTCTCAAGAAACGCGAACTCTTCACTGACTCGATACTACTCCGCCATACAGTATGTTACATCACTGAGAGCGCCACCTGCCGGTCGATGGGAACCACGGGCTTGAAATCGCAAAGCCGCAGCCTGAAAAACTGAATAGTTTCGAAAAAAGCGGTTACTCGCATCCACTCGACGAATCAACTTCAAAGTTTGAGAGGCGCCGGAAAGTCTGAAGATGATGCACATCCTACGCCCTTCAGTGCCCTGGTGACGACTGGCTCATGAACGAGGGCCGTTCTGAGCGCCGTGCATTGACGATCGCTGATCTTCTGAAGCCATTTGTCTGGACTCCGCTGCCTCCAATGCACTTCTTGTTGAACTCTCTTCGATTTTTTGGCAAGCACTTGCAAGCACCACCTCTCGGCAGATCTCCCTCCACAAGAACGACTCTGCATCTGCAGCTGCGAAGCCTCAGATCATCTCAACACTGTCGAAACGCCTTGCAAGATTGATGCTGAAATGATGCTGAAATCTGGATGAGTTGAGTTCAAGGCGTTGGCTCTCAGCAGTGAGGCGCAATGCTTCACGCCATGCTGCTGACAGCTCATCCTCTGCGGCCATGGTTGCTGCTTCTCGCCTTTCATGATCTCTCCTGACCAATCAATGGTTCAGCCAGTATTCAAGACTCTATAGGCTAGAGGATGCTAAAGGTTTTGGATGGTTTGACTAAGGATATGATGGCTTAGAGTCTTCAGTCTTAAGGATCAATGGTCCACCTATATCATCCACATGTCCATCCTTTGTTGAGGGTGCGATGGCGGCATGCTCGCATGAACCCCGTGATTCAGCTTTTGTTCTTTGCGTCATCACGAAGGCAATCAAATGCCGTGAAGAGCTTCCCACATGGGAATGCAGCTGGCCTTTCGGAGAGAAGCCACACTTGGTCACTTGTTGCAGGTACAGCCGCCCTCTCCAAACTCGCTTCCAGTCTTTCCACGTACAGCTGGTGATGTGTGACCGAACTCATCCAAGCGGAGGTCACGGATGTCCTTGAAGTTCGTGATGGGCATATCCGGGATGTAGTGTGTATAGCCAACCAATACCATCACGAACGACAATGCCGATGAAAGCGCTGAATCAAAAACTCCAACCGCGCCTCCAACTTTTCGATCCGCCTCGCTTCCAGCCTCATTCCTGAGCAAAGCGTTGCCCAGCGACAACAGAAACAGCAACCGTGACCCAGAAACAACATTACTTGTTATCTTTTGCATCAATGCTTTTTGCAGCATCCGCACTTGCACGATGCGACGAACGTGGCAATTCATTTCGCCATGCGTCTGTCCCGTTCTTCGCCAAACCTGCGGACAGCCCACTGGTCATTCTCTTTCTCGGTTGAGAAGTTGCCACCCCGCCGAAACCGCTTGCCTGCAGACTTTTTGTCCAATCAAGCTTGCTATGTTCCAAGTTCTAATTCGAAATATGTCTAAAATGTACATATTGCTGAATTGGTCAAAGACGCACCCTGCTTTGTATAGTTCTTTGCGTTCCGCGATGAGCTGTCTCATCCTCACAATGTCGAGCCTGGAATGCTCGGGGCGTTCAATAAATAAAGGTCTTTAATCATCACGATCTTTCAATGTGCAAAAAAGCATTGTAAGAGAACATCGGCCGAATGTCTCCAGCAACGGGCAGAAACGAGCTGCCATGAAACGACGCGATAAGGACATCGCTTGCCGGCTGGTTGTGCACCATGGGCCAGAAACGCAACGCCAGGCAGCCATTTTTATGGCCGCCCTGCCCCCCCCCCCCCCCCCCCCCCCGCAAAACCCGTGTTTGCAATGGCTTGAGCAAGATTCGCTGCGAGATATCCCACAAACCTGCTGCGTTAAGCCTGCAGCAACAAAGCAAAATCCCGGCCACCAACACAGAATATTGAAACTGGACTCCACAAAAACCATTATGTGTCCTTCGTATTGCTGCCGCAAGTGCTTCTTCTGCTGCAAATCTTTGCCGCTCTGCGGCTTCTTTGGCGCGCTCCGCCTCAATACCCGCGCCGCATTTGCAATCTCATGTTGTCCTGTTCTATCAGCCGAGACTATCCCACACAACGACTGGCGCCTCCACTGCCTCTACTTATGCAGTCATCTTGGTGCGGCGATGTGTGGCGGTCTGGTCTTGGACCGTGGCATTTTCCAGCATCTGGCGCTCCTCGTCTCGGACATGGCCTAAGTTATGGCATGCCGAAGCAACAGCCGGCTTACTTACGCTGGCTTCCATTTTATTTCTGGGGAGATGGCTGCTATGCTTGTCTTCGATCCACATCTTGCGACGGTCACGTCTCTGGGCGGTACTCTCTTCCCGATAAAACCTCGGGCAGCACAGTCCTGCTGAATGGAATGTGGAATGTGGACGGCAAAGTGCGCGACTCTCGGCATAGGAGTTCCTACATCCAGAAGAGTCGCAATAAACAGGCCCGAACCAACACAAGAGAAACAACACAACAGCGCAGTCGGTTTTTTGTAAGGTGGCTCTTGAATTAAATAAGTCTTTGCACTTCTGCAGCATGCACTTCTGCATGTCTACCGAATGCTACACAAATTATGTCGAGGTATGCTGTGCTGGCAACTCACTAGAGCTCGTCTGCGCTGCCTCGACCAAGGATGCAGTGCACAGGACAGGACGGGGCCCGAAATGGGTCCGCACTAAGTCTAGAACTGTGGCAATATTGTGGTTCCGCTGTCTTAGTCTGAGTCCGGGTCGAAACTCGTCAGATTTTCTGCGTGGCTTGGGTGACTTGGGCGGTGGTGGCCTCGACGGGCCTCAAGATTCTTCAAGATGTTTCTCAAGCACCAAGAAGAGCTTATGCTTGTCAACGCGGCACATGGCTTTGTCCATTGGCTCCCTACCTCTAGGCACGGCATTGTGAGATGCCAGCAGCTGATCCACTGTTCGCTGTATGCGCTTTGCATCCTTGGTCCGAGAGTCCAGATTCACTGTCGACAGTGGACAAATTCTCGTATTTTTGACTGGCGTCGTAGTTCTCTCTGGGACGGTAATATGCGAAGGCCATCGTCACATCGCCATGCAGTAGTTGACCGCTCCTGCACGCTTCGCTTTGAAGGCCATGACAGTCGAAACTGACACCTCGAAACGGGTCCTTCCGTGCGGAAGCCTTGCACCTTCCTGAGGTGCCCATGTTAAGAAAAAAAGGCAACTAAAAAGTTGCATGTGCATAACAAAGCTTAAGCATACATCAAATATGATGCAATCGAAGGACATAGATCAAGAGGTGACCTGAGGCAGCTCCAGATCATCTTCAGCACTGAGCACTTTGATGCACAATCCTCCGTTGGCTCTGATGCTGGAACCTGGCTGGAGAGGTATTGGCCGCTGCTTTCTGCCCTGTGGATCCCCAATCTGTAAGTGCCAGCTGGATCCTGTCGAAAGCCGGAGTACGTCATGAAGCACTTCCGCACATGCAGCGGGCGTCTCTCGCGAGGCCTGCTCCATTGGCTTCCAGAAGCATAGCGACTGTAATCGGAGTTTCCGGGCCTTGGGCATGCATTGCATGCCATGCATGCAATGATCAGCACAGCTGACTGCCGTATTTTCTTGTGGAATCTTCCGTCGATACATCACCGGCGATCGGTGCGATTGGCGTAATTACTCCTTCAACACCTCCTTGAAAAGCCAAAGTGTTGCAAAATGCCGAGATCCACACTGTCGACGTGCTGCAGAAGCGACGCACCCTCCTGCAGCAGCGACGCCGTGTCATGTTGCCATCTGCTTCTCTATTTGGGCTTTGTCCTCGTAAATTCGGAGGCTCGGGGCGATGCTGACCAGCTCCTTAGTCACCAGCAAGGAATACCCGTATACCCCTTCGGATGGGCCGACCAACACCCTCACCGCCCCAACTGCGCTCGTTCGCCACCCATGATCCACCACATCCCACCACTAACCCGACCTTCCTGAAGCACCAACTTGCATTTTGCATATGCTACAGTGAAGAAATTGACAAGCACTCCTCATGTATAACTTAATAAACTTAATCAGTGTTTCCGAAATGTTCTTGCTCGATGCAGCCGTTGCCACATCCCTTTGTGCCTTCCTAGGGTGGATACTGCATGCTTTACGTTGGAGCAGTTATGGGGGCAACGAGCCTTGCTTGAAAGCTGGGTCTCGATTCATAAACGTGGAGGTACAGTGACGCTGCTTGCACAGATTTGCACAGCACGCTGAGTCTGCAACCATCTTTTTCCCTGATGCTTTCTCTGCGATTGGGCGCAGCAGGTTGTCCATGAAACCCCCCTGAACACGAAGACCATGACTGGACAAAGCTGTCTTCGTTGTCCCAGCCTTCTTTGTCCATTCTGGCAGGAGCGGCAGTGCTTTCCTTGAACATGTGTGCAGTCGTTCGCTCCCAATGCTCCATGCATGTGGCGACTTCAAATCCTCCAGGTTAAGGATGAGAATAGTGCGGTTGAAGAGCGCCTTTCGCTGATTGCCAAGAATAGGATTGAAAGCTTCAGTGAAGGACCTCGCCAGGCCAGGTCTGTTGAACTCGAACCGCGTGGGACAGCGGGAACATGCAGGAACAGTTCGGCCTGCCGCGGTGCGACTTCATGTGGCTCAGCAGCCGCTGCTGGATTTCTTTGGGCACGTGGCCTGCCCTGACACATAAGGCGACTTGGTTGTGCACAGCGCGCACATGAAAATTGAAACGAATCGCAATGCTCACGTGAGTGGCACAAAGGCAACCGGTGGCACATGCACTAGCATCGTGCCTCACATATCCCATGGTATGCCTTTGGATCCAGGAACACATGCTTGACGCATGCAATGAACATCGTCTTGAGTCTCTCACAAAGCAGGTGGGCGAAAAAGCTTCTGGAGAGCAATTTGGCCTTGCGCCCCTGCAAGAACCTGCGTTTTGATGGCGAAGTGGATACTGACATTTACCAGCTTTTCGGCTGTTGCTCGAGCTTGTGCTGTTAGCCTTGCTGGGCATGCCTCCTGCTTCTTTTCCTCGGCAGCCATTTGGTCTGACAGCCTCGCCAAGGTCCACCAGACATTCTGAGGCCATGATAGGCCACACAGCACAAGCTGAGGAGCTCGGAGAAGCTCTTCTGCCATGATATCATGGCCGTCTGCTTCCTCTCCTGGCGAAAACTAGCTTAACATACAGTATCATCAAGACAGGCCAAGTAGAAACAACGAGGAGCCTCACAAAGTCTGGCAATATCTCCCATCTGGCCAAGACATCAAAAAGCAAATGGGAAATAAGGCCAAGGATAACACCTGCAAGTCGGCAAGTTTGCTACAATCTTTCCACGGCCTCCGCATGCGTCCTGGCGACATGCACAAGAGGGCAAGTTACATCAAATGCATGCGGCCGAAACTTCGATGCAACGACTCCTCGGCCCTACAACAGTCTCTCAGACAATCAAGGCCCTGCGACAGACCGTCAGACCCTCTGAAAGGAAAATTATGGAAATCATTTGCCCACCTGAAATCTTACGAGGTTCAAGAGGATCCCTCTGGATCCTCGGGGCCCTGGCCCGGAAACTTTCGTCTTTGTTTACAGGGTCGCATTTAAGAGGGCCCACCACTCCCAGTTCACCCGAGAAAAAGGTTGCTCAGAACTGCTGCACTGACGCCAAGTGAGGTATTGAGGTGCACCTGGCTTCCAGGCCTTGCCATCTGCCGGGCGTGATCTTGCTTGTCCTTTGCTTCTTCTCCTTGGCGACTTGGCGCCGGAAGGACTTTCCTCACCCAAGGCGACCCAAGGGAGTGAGAATCTGGGAGGCCAGCTTCTTTTGATGGCACGTTCTCTGCTTTCTTCCGACAGCTTCCTCGCACGTGCCCGTGCTTCCTGCAGCCCAAGAAGCGAAATTCTAACCATTCAGGGAAATCGCTGCAAAAGCTATCAGCCTGTGACACTCAATGGTGCACCAGATGCACAAGAACTGCACAATCCCCTTTTTGCGATGCGGAGTGGGCCTGTCCGCTGATTCCTAAGCCTCAACCTTCAGCATCATCTGCCGAATGAATTTCATGCGCGGAGCACTCCGCACACAAGATCGCTGCGCGTGACACGCAGTGCCTCTACAAGCCGTAACCGCCATAGCGAAGAATGATGTCCAGATGGAGCTGCTTTGGCAACTGGAGCAGCTGGGATTCTTGTACGCAGTAGATACATGGTGACTATGACCATGTGCTAAATTTCGTCTCCCCACCATAGACCCAGCCATACTTCCTGTCTTTGATGAAGCGGCTCTTTTCTGTCAATGTCTTCGAAGAACCTCATGGGCACGAGAATCTACGCTTTGCACCAGCCAATGGATTGCATTTCAAAACGCTACTGCCCCAGTACCGATGTCACAGCCGCAGCAAGCCACAAGCCCGCAGGTGCTGCACACATGCATGTAGCATCATGTAGCTCGGAGCTACCGTGGAGATACCAGAGCATGAAAACTGGAACCTTTGCTCCACCTACAATTCGACGGGAACAAGAATCCAACGCACGAGCCTTGGGGAAGCCTACTGGGAGCCTCGTTGCACTCACCGTAAAGTAGTCGCTACGAGTGAATGTGCTAGCCGGACGGCAGCAACTACCCAATTCGAAGGATGGCACGAGACTGATTTGTTATCGAAAACTCGACTGTCTCACTCCCAACTCTGCTCTCCTGGCCAAAGCGTGCCAAGCAACAGATGATTTTAAACTCGACCCATTCACCGTCTGTCGACACAACTTCGAAGGCAGTAGGCTCTCGCAAGTTGCTTGCATCGCTGTTGAAGTTCATCATCTTGTCAAACCTTCAAAACAAGGGCAAAAAAGCTCACAGCTGGCACCCCGAAATTGTCTTAAGGTGGCAGTGAGGGGTGCCGTCATCACAGTTGCTCAAGCTTATCCCTTGTTGCTTGCGTTTTGTGCCCCATGTGGCAATGCTTGCGACACGCCGGCACGCACCTTTTGACAGAGGAGAGCCGTGTCTTTAGAGATCTTGACGGGCCCTTCGCCCAATGCACCTGCAATTGAATGATTTGAATGCCGCAGCATTGGAAGGATATGGAAGGATGTCCGGCGTCCAGGGGTGTGTCGTGCTATGTTGTGCTCCTCTTGCGCTGCGGTTTGCTTAGCTTGCTTTCTGTTTTCCAGTCTGGTTCCATGGTTCCACACGGAGCTGCATCACCGCCCGCTGTTCGTCCCAATCGATGCTGTTGATGTTGATGTTCTCCTCCACGTGGACAGTAACTGTGAATGCCGCAGTTCGTGGCCAGGTTTCTTGCTGGGTTTGACGGCGCCGTCGGTCTCCATGTCAGGGCGCTCCTGGACTCCTTCCTCAGTCCGAAACCCTTCTCTGCCTTCTCTTTTTCTTGCTTTGTTTGGAAACGGGAAAGCGTGTGCGATGGCGATGTGCCACTGGGCCAATACGCATCAGGTACAACACATTTCTCTTTGCTCTGCTCTGCTATGCCCTGCTCTCATGTGCAACAATTTGCTCAGTGGCATTTTTAGAAATTCAATTGCAACTACGGGAGATCCGGGAGGAGGTTGGATGTTGACGGACGTTGTCGTATGTTGACGAATAGGTGCACTAGTCCTCGCAGGTCTGCTGAGCATGATTACTCCAAGAGACATGCCCATCTCCTCTAGGCCCAGGAGAAGTGACCACTGCTTTGCGCGATCCCTGATTGACAGATTCTCGTCCTTCTCTGTAGCTGCCAGAAACTGTGGATCTTGAAACCGAAGCGCCGTGAATCGTGCCTCACATGCAGTACAACTCAGTACAAGGGCATGCCTTCTGCAAACAACAAACTCTGGCATAGCGACACTAAGCAGAACATGTATTCTTTTCCTCGGCAAGGAACGCGCATGATAGCTTCAGGACTTGAAGCTCGGAGTCCCACAAGGATGTCTCTCACATCTTCCCACTTGTTCCCATGGTCATTTTCAAGCTGTGCCTGGCTGAGCGGGCACTTTGCCCTGCGCGCGTCCAAGTCGTCGGAGGCCCACCGTGGAAGTCGCGCGTTCCGTGCTGGAGCGATTGGCGCATTGGCGAAGCCAAGTTGACCAAGAATATTGCTTCCTGTCCCAGCGTGCCATAAAGCCAGAAGCAAGCAAATGAAGCCGTGCCCAAAAAGACGGCGGAGACGTACAATCATGGCCAATCGAACTATAGGTAAGAAAACACCTTGAGCATGCGGCTGAGGCGAATGATTGGTGCAGATGTGAGCAGCAACAGCTACAAATACTCGGACGTGTGCGTTGAAATGTTCAACCGACTTCTCGTCGCCACGAATGTTCCCTTCCCAGCCTCTGCTCGCTGCTTGCTGTCCATGGAGGACTTCTGAGCCGACGTGTCTGGCAATTCCGTATCGCAATTGGGGGATGCTGGGGGTTGTGGCAGGGATGTGCGGGGCATTCTGCAGGGATGCCTCCATAGGCAGCCGAAACGATTAAAAGCATGAGAGCGCCGGGCCTGTGCCAAAGGATGCACAAGGGCAAGCTTCTAGGTTGCCGGTGACGGGGCAAATGCTCAGTGCGTGACCGAAGCAGCAGCATCTTCAATCCACTAAGCTTTAAATGACAAATTGTTTGATCTGCTCCATGAAAGTTCCAGACTTGACAATTTGAGTGCTGAAGCTAAGTTTGGCTTTTAGCGGCTGGCTACGGCTAGCTGCTGGACAAAGTTGCCCTTGGTCCTTATAGGCCTTGGGCCAGCCATGGCACCGAGCAGCACGATCGGGGATCCACAATAAACCGGCTTCATTAGGTGCATGGGCAGTGCATGGCCGTGCAGCAATGATCACAAACATCAGGGGCCTCTCGATGCATGCGCACCTCCTCACGCACTCGTACCTCGCAGAGAGGTAAACCGGCGCGATTTCTCAGATCGGTCGGCAGCCAAGATGCCCGGAATCAATACGGAGGTTACACCGAGCGAAGCTGTGAAATCCCCGAACGGGGAAGAAGCAGTCACTCCACTTATCTTCACATTGAAGCTGCAGTCATGCTGCAACTCACAGCTGAGAAAGCGGATTTTTCCTTCTCGACCCAGGCCTCTAAACGAAAGAACTGTTTTGAGGTTTTGTGGCGTGGACCATGGCTGACCAAGGGGTAGGCAAGAGCGAGACATGGCGGGACCCACGAATGGAAGCCAGCACGTCTGGCGTGACATTGGACAGAACTCAGAATCCTAAGGGAGAACGAGAAGCCCAAAGTTTTTGGCACCCGATTACAATTTCATGGATATTCGTTCGAAGCTACCAGGCACTGCATCCAGATATGTATGTACAGCTGAAGTCCGTGAATGTGTTTTTGCGTTGCTGCCAAGGCAAGGAAGGCATAGAGATTAAATTAGCATACATGCATACAGCCGGGGTAAAGCATGTGTGACCAGCATACTGCCTCCTCGCAGCGGATGTCTTCCTCTTCTTGTCGCATTTGTTCAACAAAGGCCTGCCAGCTCCAGCATGCCACGAGCGGGAAAACAAAACTGGCTGAGGATTGTGACTCCTCATGCTCCCGCTCGAGTTCCTCAAGACCTGTCAGTGTGCCATTGCATGCTTTCTGTACCACTCTTGCCCATGCGAGTGACTGCCGTGGACGTGAAATGGCGTGAAGACTCACCACCCATGTCTCAAGAGCAGGACATGCTAGCCGCTCGTCTTCGATGCTCTGAAGAGCCTGGCCGCAGCACATTCGTGAGTTCTTCGAGGCTTCGCTCCATCTACAATGATGCATGGCGCACGCTGCGCTCGAAAATTGTTACTTAGGTAGCAGGACGTTCTAGCCAATGTAACGTCCAAGAGATCCTACCTACTCCCCATGCCGTGCTTGCATCGCGGCGCTCGCGTGCGCCCCCTCGAAATCGATGACTTTCAGTGTTTCCATGTGCTTCCTGCATCTTCCTGTAGGCCCGGACGCTCTCGCCTAGCGCGTCGCTCTCGCCTGGGCAAACATCGGACGACACATCGCGCTCTGGCCAGCTGGACCTTCCGTGATTCAATTCGAGCTGCTTCCACCTGGATTCCGAGCACTTTTCTGAGGCTTGGAAACGCATTTTTGCACCAAGGGATTTGCAGTTCGTTGTGTTGCAAAAGGCGCTCTCGCTTCGGTCCCGTGCATGCTACTCGTGAAGCTCTTTTTTGAAGTCTACAACAGCCTAAGAGATACTCGAAGCCCCTAGCATCCCCTAGCCATGCCAACACGTGCATGCATACGCTCTGACAAAACCAGTCGCCGCAGTATCAAAACCAACCGCATGCCACGAGCAATGACATGGGCTCCCCCTAGTCCGAGTGCAAGGTTGAATATGGTTGAATCAACTACCTGGCCTCAGCAGAAGAATCGAACGCAGCCAGTTGGGCTGTCTCAGCCGGCAAAGTCAGTGTCTCTGCCACTGGGGCACCACGGCCTAGTCAACTGCACAGCTGAAAAGTTGACCGGTTCCAAACCTGGACTTTCTCGCCTGGCCTGTATTTGACGAATCCGCTAGTGGTGCCTTCGTTTGTTCGTGGCTGATGCACAAAGCGCTACTCACATTTACTCCTGACAGTGCAGCCACAACAGCAACAGCCATAAGATTGCCGGGTGGCACTGCGGAGTTCGACAGAAGCCTCGGCCTCTTCGTGCACGGCCGGCTGAAGTGACTCCTCCAGGCAACGCGGGTGAAGCTTTTTGAAGCTGCAGCGGCCGAGAAGAAAACAGTCTGGCAGCCGAGGGCTTCCTCAGAGGCAACCTTCTCTGACTGCTCCCCAGGGCCTCCACGGCCTTGGCCCACAGTCATGGCTAGGCCCGAGCCGTTTGCCTCTTATCGGCTCTTTCTGCGATTGAAAGATTTGAAAACTGATAACAACCTCAAGTTTTCTGCGAGGCGTGGCTGAACAGCTTCACACGCTCCTCCTGCAGCGCAGAGCGAGCCTGACCCGAAAGATTCCAACAGGCGATGCAAGCATTTGTTCAGGGCCCACATGCCATCAACATTTTTGAGTTACCTTTCCCTACTAAAGATTGAGCCAGAAGAAGCCAGTTTTCAAACGAGGCCTGCATATGCCTACATCTTGCTGCGCTCTTTCTGGCCTCTGCTGCCATCTGCGCCAGGAACGAATTGACTTCTTCAAGGCCGGAGTCCAGCTCGATCGCTTCACGGCCGGGATCCTCGAGAAGGTACAGGTGCTGGAGGTAAGCCGCCGCATACTGCATCTAAGCGACTAGCATGGAACTGTGATGGCACAACTCTTTTCAGGCAATGAGCAACAACTACGTCCCGAGGCATCGTCGTCGTATTGCCATGAGTCTTGGTAAATCCACACTCAGGTGAGACTTGAGCACTTGAGCAGTGTTCGAGATACTCTCGGTGATGAGAAAGCCTTCGGTGTGATTCATCCAAAACATTCCAAAACGTCAGTCTGCACAGTGCATCTCGGACCCTTCCGCAGGGCAAAACAATTCGCCAACTGGCTGCAACATTGGCGGGATCAGTCTCAGTCTTCCTGGGAGGCACGTTGCAAAAGAAACCACAGGTGGCAAAGCATGTAAAGCATGCGACATGTGGTGCTGGAAGGAAAGTTGTGCAGCCGGCCTCATGCTCTGCAACAAGAAGCATGGTGGAGGGGCAAAGTCCAGCTTGCCTGCGTTAAGTTAGGTATGACATGGTATGCTGTCGGGCGGGGAGGACGGCACTCAAGTACACTCACAAATCGTTGCATCACGGCTGCTTCAGTGTTTGCTGCTCCTTTCCCCGAAGGTTTGTCACCGGGAAGGAAGTCCTGGCAAGGAATCCGTCGGAAGACATTGTGACGCTGCTTGAATTGTGAACGCAATTGAACTCCTGAGATCAAACGGACGGCCCAAGGCTGGGCCATCCCAATCTGCCACAGCAGCAAACTCGAACAGGGCAGCGACCTGTGAACACTGAACACTTGCAACATCTTGCAAATTCTTGCAACATCCTGCAACAGTTGGACCATGGGCTGGGCTCCTCGTGCCCCTACCCCCAAGCCACAAGCCAAATCGCACTGTCCAGCTGCATTGCCTGCGTGTCTTCGGCAAAAGCACGCTGAATGGTGGCGCCGCTGGCCGCACGGAAACGGACAGTCGCCTTGTCAGACATCCAAATGGGTTTGAGGTGCACGCATGCATTGGCTTTTGATGTTGCACCGATGGTCGAATGGCAAGTGCTGCTTATAAACTCGTGTCTGGGGGAGCTGCTTGAGGCAGGCCAGCCTGAAACTGTCAAACCATGCCCACTTCGAGCATCTTACACGTCAGCTACCTTGCTGACATCCCTTGCTGACATCATCTGATATCTAATTTTGCAGAACATCCAAGCTTTGCGCTCCAGGCTCAGGGTGCTGAGCGGCGAAGTCGTCACGTCGAACTCTTCTTTGCTCCGCAAGTGCCGCCGCCTCTTCAGGCGCAGGCGCACACGACACATTAGTCCACCTGCAGTCTGTGCAAGCAAGCCTCATCCGCTTCGAGTTTTTGCTTTCTGGCCTTCTGCTTAACATTGCTTAACGATTTGCTTCTCAACATTCTGCCGACTTGTGCTTCTGTAGCCCATGCCAATTTGCAGCGCTTGCTGACTTCAGGCACACCAGACATGTTGCGCAGCCTCTTCTTCGGCCGCAACTCGCTCTTGTTCTTCCTGCGCAGGCAGCGTGGGGCCTGCCTGGAGAGCACAAGTTCGGGTGGGCGGCCTTCTCGGCCTGGGCTATTCGACGAAGCTCATCCTGACGTAGACTTTCCTCTCCAGCAGGCACGGGTGAACCACGCTTTAGTCGCAGTCCGGTGCAGGCAATGGCCTCATACTCCGCATCTTGGGATGCAATGATCTGGCGATCTTCTTCTCTGCGGATGGCTGCCTGCTGCCAAGGTCTGGTGGACTCTTTCAACCAGTCAAGCTACTGCAGGGTCTTCCGCCGGCTTGCAGCCGTGTTTTCAGGAGTGGGAAGATCCCCCACCTTTACGCACTCCTTTAGGGCTTACAGTCAACCAAACTGTGCGATCCTTTTGGGCTCGCGGTTGATGGATTCCTGTGCAAGAACATGCCGTGTTGGGCTCAATTACAATTAACAGATCTCATCAGATCTCTATAAATCCTTCTCTAGGCCTGAGGGCCAAAGGAAAAACAGCCTCCAACTTGCAGTAATGAGGAGCGGCATCTGCCCCGTGCAGGCGCGGCTCAGAACAGGATTCATCACATGGCCAAATTAAAACGAGGGGTTTCGAGTGTGCCACATCGCTGGAACGGTTGTTTCGGATCACAAGAACTGCTGCCGCCGGGCTTTCGCGTGCGTGGGTGCGAAAACACTGCGCACGGTGGTACTTGAGAGCAGGGAGCGTAGATGGCAAGCGGCTGTTTTTTTTGCCCTGAAGGCCAGGTGGGTGGCAAAAAGGTCGGGCGGCGGCCCCCCCCCCCCCCCCCGTAATCGCGGGTTCGCTTTCAGAACGAGTAAGGCACTACCTCCTTAAATGTTTCCCAAACTTGTCCAGAGTTCGTTGACATGCGTGCAGCTCCAAAACATCCAAGGTGCACGGCAAAACTTATCTGAACACACCTATAATGACCTAGCGCCCACTTTGAAGTGTGGCCGTGTGCTCCCACTTCAATGTGGTACGAAAACGTCGTCCCTGTGGCCTCCACAGCTGCGACCTGCCAAAATCTGCCAAAGAAGGCTTGTGAGAAGTGCGCACACCCGTTCAAGTACACTTCCTCGTCATCCCAAGGGAAGGAACAACTTCACACAGTGACACTTATAAGGCAGTCGCCGCCGCAGTTTCCTCTGCAGACCCAGCTCGTGCCTGATCATTCTCTTTCATTGCCGAGATCTGCCACAGTCCTCGAGCTGGAATCTTGAGGCAAAGGCCGCGCCGGCAACAAACCTGAAGCAAAATCAGCTTCACAAGAATCAGTGCGGGCATCTGCTTTACGAGTCCGTGAATTGCGAACATGCAATCTCGGTCGCGCACTCGCCCAGCGGCTCGCAAAGGTCCAACACATTTCCGATCTGAGTCGCATCGGGTTTCTCACGACCACTTCCAATAAATTCCTTTGACTCTCAAACGAGCTTCAAGCGGCTGCGTATTTCCCATTCAGAACACTGCACAGCTCGTCGAAAAAGGTGGTCAAAAGACTTTGTCGCTCCTGCAAGGACTGAAACCGACAGGCCCTCAGCTGGCTGCAGTCACGCCCAAGCGTGGCCTGCAGGAAGGTCTCATCAAAGCGGCCTGCAAATGTTGACCGCATCGTGACCTGAGCAGCAACTTTGCTGGTGCCACTGCCACGATAAGTTCCCGTAAAGTTTGCTCGTCGTTACTTCGCGGACCTTGGGCGGAAGTCGCGGAAGCACCACATCCTGAGCAAGCGAGTGGGGCCAGAGCCCCGGCCTTGCAACACCAACAGGGAGTAGGCCCAGCGACACGCAGCTCGCTCATCTGCGACAGCTGACCCAGAAGTCTGTCCACCTGAAATATACCGGAGCCGACATAAAAGCACAATGCAATTTGCGAAACGACGCGCCCTCGTCTCCTGCCCGAGCCTGGGAGAAGCGAAACACCAAACTTTGAGGTGGTGCTCCACTTGTGCTTGACCTAAGAGAGGAATCCATCGCCAAGACTAAACCGACGCAACAATGAGTACAAAGCTCCAAAACAGGTCCTGCTAGGTAGTGGGCTGCGCACGGAACTCCACATGTTGACGGGCGCCTTGGCCTGCCTTGCGAAGTCCACACAAGAGCCAGCGATACTACTCGAGACTTTGCTGGCAGTGCGTAAGGCAGAGAATGGCAGCACTGCAAACTCGCAAGCTCCACCACGAAATGCTCGACGATAACACAGTGCCACCTCAAAGATTGAAGCTTTGCTGCAGAAGCAGAAGTGCGAGGACAAAATCAACGCTCAGAGCCCGTACCCTGTCTCATCCGTCATGGCTCGATGCCCTACTGCGAACAAACTTTTTGCCAGTGTGTCCGATAAGTTGCGTTGAGTTTAACTACGTACACATTGGTGCATGTGATGCTTGCGGCCTCCTTGCAATGACTAAGGCGGGTTCATTCATTTCTGCTTGACATTGTTTACGCTGCGCACGTGTGATTTCCCAAGAGCCCATGCGAGGCGACACATGCAAAACGCAGAAATCGGCACTGAATCTCTGGTTGGGACCGTGATCCATTGCAATGCAGGACTGAAGTTGTAGTTCCGCCTCCTGCTCGCCGAGGTCGAGAAGAGGCAACGACTCGTGTGGCGTTGACACTTCCTTCTTCCATGCAGAGGACGCCACAAGGTTCGGAATCATGCTTCCTTGCCGAGGTTGTGGCGAAGAATATGTCCGGAGGAGCAGGCCGTTCCTGCTGCGCTGTGGCATGGAGCCGCTGCGCCAATTGAAGCCATGCAATGATGCAACAAGTAGCATGTGCCCAGGTCAAGTCCTGCAATTGTTGCTCCAGCCTTTCCGCCTCCAATGCGCTTTCCCACATGGTTTGCTGCATGTTCTCCTCCTTAGTTGTGCAGACCCCAACAAACAGCCAAAAGCCCGGACTCACCAAACCCCAACCACCAAACCTTGAGAGCTGCTTGGGCAATCAATCACACCTTCAAAGGGCGGCGCCCCTATAGAAGATTGACAAGGTGCCATTGCACGCGCACGTGGTCTTGCGATATAACTCTTCAAACATCGTGCCCAACACAATTTAACTAATGGACCGCGACACGTGCACCGCGCGCCAAGACATTCGCTCACCGAAAACGTTAGCAGCAATGCTGCGGGATGCGCATCGCTGTGCTGAAAATACACCGCAAAGCCGTTCTGCCCTTTGCCAGCAGCAACGCGAAAGCACCATGACGAACAGCGCGAGGTTCAAATACCTTTAAGGACCGAAACTGTGAAGTGAACCTGTCCAAGAACCGGAAGGAAAGAAGGACTTGTCACGTTGTCGCGAACACCCTTCCGGTAGCGATGTTTTTCGCTGGATCACAGGCCTTATGAGGGGGGTTTGTGGTGAGATTTATTGGCTAATGGGAACTTGCTGACCTGCTCAAGCACTCACACTCACACAAAGCAACGCAAAGACGCATCACATGAGACATGACGCTATGTTGCCTCGCACCTATGAAAAAAAAAACATGCATTGGGATTTTAAGTGGGCATGTCTACAAGTCCATATTTCCGCTGAGGACGCCGCCATGGCAGAGCCCCACCTTAATACAATTTCGCCCACGGAAGGGGACACACTATTACTACAACATGTGCTCTTTCGTGTTCAGGCATGGCCTAGGCTCGGGGCGCACCAAGTTGAGCAATGAACCTTGAAACAGCACAGGCCATTGGCTACATTCATGCTTTTCATGCTGAGTCATGCTTTGGCGGCGGCTCGTCAAGTTGCATCCCGCTTTCGGCAATAGCCCCTCGCAGGAGAAACAGAAGCAGGGACTGCGGTCCAGTGCTGCCAACAATGTACGTTGTGAGCTTCAAATGCTTGGATGGCTAGGAGTTGCGCGGCGCCTGCATCTTCTTCAGCCAGGGCATTCTCGTCCAATCTCGGTGAGTAGCTGCCCTGGACAAGATGCAAATGTGCGGAGGGTGGGCGGACAAACGTTCTGCAGCAGTCGGGGTTGACAGTCGGGAGCTCGTCATGCCGTACTGAGGAGTTTGCGCCGTTGTGGGGTCCAACCCTTCACAATTGCAAGGTCGCATCACGCCAGCAGTGCCAGCCCGTTCAAACCCAAAGAATGTATTCTGCTGTCTTGATTTCACAAAAATTCTGAAAGCGCGCGAAGCTTATGTGCACATGTATGCACCCATCCATGCCGACTGTCATAACCGGCAAGCCCTGGCAGCAACCCTTGTCTGCACAGCTGTGCGGCCCACGCGCGGTCTTGCAACAGCTTCGAGAACAACTAACAAGGATTCGAAAACATCATCTTCATTACCAGTTTCTGCAAGCTCAGTTGCTTGCCTGGGACAAGCCTGAGTCATTTTGCTCTTCTTGTTCTGACGCACTCATTGCCCAACACACCTTAGGAGTCGACTCGGCATTTTGCGTACATGCAACCGCTCCGTTGCGCTTTAAGGCACCGGCATTTGCGCACCCAGCTTACAGCATGCACATTCGAGCCTCATGCCTTGAATTCTGCTATTGGTCGGCTACGTTGTGCTTCCGAATGATGTTTATCGAAACATCATGAAACATCCAAACACATGAGACCGTGGTATGGATGTTTGCCATGTGCGTGGTTCTGTTTGTTTTGTAGCCTTCCTAACACGCACTTATGTCGCCAATGCTTGCCCCCAACGCAGAAATCCCCATGATTTGAACAACCATGCCTTCCACTTTTGATCCAAACGCCTGTGCCCGCGGCACTTGGGCGGCATCCCACAACCCTTATACCAGCACCGCAATTGCCCCCCCCCAAACCCTAAACCCATGCAAAACTGAGCAGCCACCGGCCTTTGCGGCGTGAGAATTCCTGTGCTCGATTTGGGTTCGCCCTTCTGGTTCAGATTCCGGGGCTCTGGTGCGCACGCTCTCTCGTCCGCGATGCTGTGAGAGTCCGACAGCGTTTTTTTTTTTTACCGCAAAATGTGGCCATGACTCGAACGCAGGGCCTGAGCGGGCGACTGCAATTGTGGAACTGGGCGGAGCAAACCTGGTGGACTACTGTGGAACTTGTGAGCTAACAGCGCTACACCATGCCTATGCGGCGCTACAAACTGCAAGCAGCTGGGCTTGGCCAGGGCCAAAACCTGGCTCAGCTCTGGGCAGGAGCGAGGTGCCCGCGGCGGCTTGTTGAGCTGTCACACGGGCAACAATCCTCACCAGCATCGCGTCCCGGCGGCCTCTCACCTCCATGCCCTACGCGAGCAGTGTGAGCAGTTTAAGTACTTGGCTCACGTTTGATGCCTTACATGTCATGACATCCGTGAATCCAGAGTGATTGCATATGATTGCATCAGACTTGCCTTGGCAATGCCTTGGCTCAAGTGACCGGGTGAAAAAATGCTTGCTGCGTCAAAGCTGTGCTTGATTGAGCTGTGACCAACACAGGGTTATCAGCCGTAGCTGTAGGTGCCATGGCGACGGACGATGCGACATCAGGACGCATCTACATCAAAGATCTGCCAGAGACTGGTTCTGATTATGAGGGCTGGCGCTTCACGTTGAAGAGTCAAATCTTGCGTGTAGCACCGGACCCAGTGGCAGCCATGGCTTACATCAGAGTGTTTGATGATGAAGCGGTTTCCTTTGGCGATTTGGTGTCAAACTTGTCCGTAGACATGAACAAAACAGACGTGAATGTTTTCGCAGCGGTGGTTGCCGCATGTCAGAAGGGCAAGAAAGGACCGGAGATCCTCAAGCTGATACAATCACGTGCGCAGTTTGGTTGTGGTCGTCAGGCTGTCCGCATCGTTGATCAGTGGCACTTGCATGAGTCAACGCATTTAGCCACGGAGGCTAACACCAAGATCCAAGAGCTCAGTTGTTCTGGATTGTCGGAGCTTGACAGCTACATGGCATCTTTTTCGTTGCTTCGTCACCAGATGGGTTCCGGCGAGCATAAGCTCACGAATGCTGGGGGCATTGCGCTTCTGAAGCGCAAACTCAAAAACATCAAAGAACTGGATGCCACTTTTGCCGTTTTCAATGCCAGCAATTCTGTGGATTTAGACGCCTTGATCTATGCCATCAACGGTTTGATTGCACATCGCTCGGAAAAGGTAGAAGGGCGAAAAACGCAGATGTCACATCTTCATCTGGGCGATCACGGTCTCGCCGCGGATCGCATCCATCGGATGCAGATTCGGAACGTGCTTCTCAAGGCCTAACTGTCGCACAAAACCCGGCGTCTCCAGCACACAGTGGATCACATCCCCCCATCCGATGCTGACTCGGAACGATCCAGGCCAATTTTTTTCCAATCACAATCGGACGAGCACCGAATTGCAGCCAAACGGCATACACAGTTCGGATGCTGATTCCGAGAGGTCGCAGCAGCCGAGCAATGTTCTTGACAATGGGGCCTTCTCCTCCACGGTAACGTTTGAAAGTGATCGATCTGGACTCAGCACAGTCGTTCGCAGTGGGACGGTTCTCACGACGGCTGCAGCGCTCAGATTGGAACAGTTGCTGGACAAGTTGACAACTGAGCTCGGGAAAATGTTCGCTTGTGTCACCAAAATACTCAAACGCAAGGATCCAGAGTGGAATACAAACGCCGCGCGTGCAGCCATCCGCAAGGAGGCGGCAAACCACGCATCGAAGCGGACTTGGGATTCCGAAGCATGTGAATGGGAAAGTGCTGTGGCCAAGTACGGGCCTGACGTGGAGTACGTGCAGGCAAATCTTATCTTGGGGATCAAGCACTACGAACTCGATCAGTCCCAGCACCGGTTCAAAGCTCGCATAGTTGCGCTCGGAGACAATGTGCGTGACATCTACGGCCGCCTTGTGGAGGAAGACCAATTGCACGGTCGACCCATTACACTTGAGGGATCGCGGGCGCTGGATTGCTACGCTGGTTTGCAACCCGACGGCGATTGTCAGACTGCTGACGCTGATGGTGCGTACTTGCATGCTCGACTCAAAGGTCGTCCGAAGGTTATTTGTTTGCCGAAAGAATTTCGCACACAAGCAGAGCTGGAGATGCGATGTCCAGTTCACCTTTTGTACATGGCCATCTACGGGCTCACGCATTCAAACAGCGACTGGGAAGATCATGCTGACGAGCGGTTGTTGCTTAAGCATTGGCTGCAAGCTCGTGACATTGAGCGTCCGATGTTCAAAAAGGAATACAACGGACACATTGTGGGCATGGGCCGTTTTGTGGATGATTTCAAGTTGGCGGGGCACAAACCAGTGCTACCACACGCATGGGCTGAGATTTTCGAGCGCTTCGATTTCGCAGACCCACCTCAACCCGTCAGCCGATTTGTAGGTTCCGAAGAAATACTGTCACGTGACCATGCTGATGTTGCCACGTTTCTTGTCAAGCAGGATGCTTACATCGATACCTTCACGCGGAAGTATTTGGATGAGATTGCGGCCTAAAACTTCCACGATACGACACACCAGTTGTGAAGCTCGCGGCCAGTGATGTGTCCAGCATGAATGAACCAGGTCAGTTTGCCTCAAATTGTGGGACGTACGTGGGGGCCGGATTGTGGATAGCTCGGAATAGTCGTCCTGAGATGTCTTTTGCTGTTGGATGGTACACTACAAAATGGACCAAGAGACAGGATGCGGCCTTGCATCGTCTCATGGGATATCTAGCAGCTACTCAGTCCTCTATCCTGCTGATGTTCTGCAACGCACTCTGAGACTAGTACTGTGGGTCGACTCTGACTGGGCGACAGATCCTGAAACCAGGCGATCGACGTCAGGAGCTGTTTTGCAACTCGTTGGGTCGCATGGCGCTCGCGCGACATTTGCTTGGAGATCGCATCGACAAGGTGCAACTGCATTGTCGGCGCCAGATGCCGAAGTGACTGCTATGGCTGAAGGTGTCAAGCGCCACGGGATCTGTGCAGAAGATCTTTTCGAGTTTTTGTTGGGATATCGAATTCCATTAGACATCATGACCGATTCAGCAACAGGCATCGCCAAAACCAGCACTGACGATAACCTCGCAGATATCATGACGAAGGCATTGGGGAAGAACAAGTTCCAGCATTTTTCACGGCTTTTGGGAGTTCACCCGCATGGTTGAGATTTGCATGGGCTTTTACAGCATGGTGATTTCGTTGTCATGATTATGCGCATGTGTTGCTTGATTTTCCGCATGATCTCATGATTGATTTCGTGATTTTCGTTGGATGCATGAACAGTGCAGATTTTCTAGGCTGTTGATTGATTTGCTTGACACCTGCATCTCACGGTTCGCATCGCGGAGCATCGCCAAGCTCTTTAGCAATCGCCTGGCGTGTTTGACTGGCTGTGCCTACAACATCCTGCGGCGACTTTTACAGGTCTCGAAATCTGGCACACTTGTCGCGCCGGGGCAATTCTTTCCAACACATGAGAGACCTATGAAGCGCCCCTGCACATCCCGGTGCTGAACTCCTTCAGCAACCCCAATGTGCCTTCTACATTTTCACAGCACACACCGGGTGCGTGTGCGTGTGCGTGCGTATCAAACCCTAAACCCTAAACCCCAAACCCTAAACCCCAAACCCTAAACCCTAAACCCTAACTCCTAAACCCTAAACCCTAACTCCTAAACCCTAAACCCTAAACCCTAAACCCTAGGCCTAAAACCCTAGGCCGAAAACCCTAGGCCCAAACCCCTTAGGCCCAAAATACTTAGGCCCAAAACCCTAGGCCCAACACCCTAGGCCCAAAAACCTAGGCCCAAAACCCTAGGCCCAAAACCCTAGGACCAAAACCCTCCCCACTCCCCCACTCCTGTTGTTCTGGTCGCAAAATATGTTTTATAGCGTTATTTAGGGTTTAGGGTTTAGGGTTTAGAGTTTAGGGTTTGGGGTTTAGGGTTTAGGGTTTTGGGCCTGGGGAGTGGGGGAGTGGGGGAGTGGGGGAGTGGGGGAGTGGGGGAGTGGGGGAGTGGGGAGTGGGGGAGTGGTGGGGGAGTGGGGGAGTGGGGGAGTGGGGGAGTGAGTGGGGGGGTGGGGGAGAGTGGGGGAGTTGGGGGAGTGGGGGAGTGGGGGAGTGGGGGAGTGGGGGAGTGGGGGAGTGGGGGAGGGGGAGTGGGGGGGGGAGTGGGGGAGTGGGGGAGTGGGGTGCGGGGGAGTGGGGGAGTGGGGAGAGGGGCGTGGGGGAGTGGGGGGGGGGGAGTGGGGGGTGGGGAGTGGGGGAGTGGGGGATGGGGAGTGGGGGGGTGTGGGGGAGTGGGGATGGGGGGAGTGGGGGAGTGGAGTGGGGGAGTGGAGTGGGGAGTGGGGGTGTGGGATTGGGGTAGGGGGAAGTGGGGGTAAGTGGGGGGGAGTGGGGAAGCGGGGAGTGGGGGGGAGTGGGGGAGTGGGGGAGTGGAGGGGAGTGGGGGAGTGGGGTGAGAAGGGGCCTGGGCGGTGCTATAAGCAAATGGAAGGGGCCTGGGCGGTGAGCCAGCTTGCGAGCGGTAGCGGCCGCACAGGTCGTACCCATCATCATTTTGCAGAAGCACTCTTTTGTACAGATTTTCTTCGGTGCTGGCGTATTCTTGTCGCAAGATTCAGCAGACGGGACAGAAGTCTGCACACTTTGATTCCATTTTCCTTTGACTGTGATGCCATGCTCGGCATGGGGGCGTTGTGTGAGCAGTTTAAGTACTTGGCTCACGTTTGATGCCTTACATGTCATGACATCCGTGAATCAAGAGTGACTGCATATGATTGCATCAGACTTGCCTTGGCAACGCCTTGGCTCAAGTGACCGGGTGAAAAAATGCTTGCTGCGTCAAAGCTGTGCTTGATTGAGCTGTGACCAACAAGCAGTCTCGCCAGTTCTTGGTCAGCCGCCTCTTTGATCTTTTTGCATCGCTCTGCGACGCGCGGTGCTGTGCCCTGCGTCAAGGCCTGGCTGCCTGCTCGGCTCATGTTTGCTTGCTTGTTATCGCAACGAACGCGTGGGCCAGTTGTTGCGGCAACATCTGGACTTCAGCACTGTGATCACAGAGGACACAGTCGCAGTGGATCTGCCGCCTTCCTTGAACAGGCAACCCTTCTTGCATCCCCGGAGCGCCGGCTAGGACTCAGCCGAACAACGGCCGCGATATGCCTTGCAGCTCATTCGTGACAGCTTTGCATGGAACACGCCATTGTGGCTCAAGGGCTCAAGCCATTCTGGCACATGCTGAGTAGTTGGCGCGCGGATCGCTCCAGAGCCGCAGGGCAGCTGGGGGACCGTGTCACTTTTGAGGCGCGGCCGCTCTTGGGCATGTAGTGCAGCTGGAGGGTCGCGCAGGTAGCGGGCGGGTATCCCTGCGCATGTCGAGCGTGCGGGCACACTTGCGGGGGGCGTGTCTCGAAGCAGTGGTCCAGGATAACTACTTGCTTGTCAAGCTCGCCACCCCAGGCCGCCGAGGAACCGGCGCAGTGAGTCTCGCAGCCGTGCGGCCCTGACGGCTGCATGTTGCAGGAAGCCGCAGCGCCTGCCAGGGCCGCCGCAGGCGCCAGCATGCGCAGGTCTGACACGCCCGGACGCGGACGGTCGCGCGCTCCTACCGTCGCCCCGTCTGTTAGGCCAGCCGACCCTGAAGAGGAAGGCGCCTCAACCATGCCGCTTGGTGCACGCCACAGTCTCGCGTTGCACAGAGATGATCCCCTATTGCGCGAGCCTCGGTCACACACGCCGGATCGCGGTTTCGCCGGATCGCTGTCGTTGCCAGCCGTCCCCCATAACCGTCACATCCCGCTCGCCGCCGCCTTTCTCCTCCGGCAGTACCACGCCACGAGCACCGGAGGTTGAATTCGACTCGTGTTGCGTGTGCGGAGGCACTCAAACATACTCAAACCAAGCAGGTCTGGACATCGCGCCCTGCGGAAATTCCGCGTCACCAATTGCACCTCGGGTGCTTGGCCCAATTCCGCGTGCAAGCCTCGCGCCCGGCCGACCTCTTGCGCCCCTTGTGCTGCCCCGCGTGCGAGCGTTGGATGGACGGCCCAGCACGATGCGGCGTTGTGCGACGAGTGTGCGCACCAAGGTGTGCAGATGCCAGTCCGGATTTCTGGTGAAGAGACTTTGCGGGAGGCCGTGCAAGACTATGCACTGCGCACCTTCACCTCCAACGACGCGCCCGAACCACCTCCAGGCGTCGTCGGCCACGCGAGGTGCGGGGGGGATCGACTTCGTCGCTATGCAGCGCCGCGACATGCAGTGGGCACCTCAGCCGATACGGCACGACGCCGGCATTGCGGCTTCGCGACCTGCCTGGGTAGGCCCTGGGAGAGGCATGCAGAGGTTGCGGCAGCCGGCTTTGGTTCGCGTACGACCGAGCCACCGAGCACGGGCACCGTCGCTGCTGGTGGGAAGAAGCATACGCCGCTAGCAGGCTTGGCACGTGCCAGGGAGGCCGCGTATATGTGTTAGTGGGTGCATGGGCCTCTTTATGGGCATGGGTCTGTTGGGACAGATTTCATGCGTCCGGACTATATATAAAGTTGCCCCGAACTATTTATAAAACTCGCCGAACTATTTAGACATCGTCCGGAACCGCTCGGAACCGTTCTGGACTGTTTGTAACCGCGCTGCGAGACACCATCGCCGACCATCGCTCAAATCAAAGCCGCAACAATAGCCCCACAGTGGTTGTAAGTCGCCCAGAACCGCTCGGAACCGTTCCGGTTCCGAGCGGTTCCGGACTATCTGGAACGATTTCGAATCATCTGCTGGAAAACTTATATATAGTTCTGAAAATTTTTATATATAGATCGAGGAATATTATATATAGCTCCTGCACCAGGCGGGATGCCCAACAGGTAAAGAGGCCCACGCACCTACTAATATATGTGCGTATATGTGTGTGTAAATATATGTGCGTGTGCGTGTGCGTGTGGGTGTGTGTGTGTGTGTGTGTGTGTGTCTGTGTGTGTGTGTGTGCATGTGTGTGCCTGTGTATGAGTGTATGAGTGTATGTGTGTATGTGGGTATGTGTGCGTGTGTGTGTGTGTGTGTGTGTGCGGATGTGTGTGTGTGTGCGTAAGGCGAAACCGGTTTGTCGGCCAGACGCAACACCGTCCTCGGGCACGTCTTACGTGAGCTACGGCAAAGTTTGTCCGGAATTTTTTGTCTCATGTGCTGAGATGCACATGCGTGTGCGTGTTAACAGACACGTGTGTTCGGACGGACACCCCAACACACCACACACCACGCACCTCTGCTCGGACGCCGTGTTTGTTAAACGGCACACCTGGCCACAAAGTTGGCGTGTAAAGTTCCAACATTGCAACGGTTCAATATCCCGGCCCCCACGAAAGCATCCTGTTCTAAACCATTGGTTCTTATTGTGTCGCAAAAAGGCGCACGAGAGCGTTGCGAAAAAACCCATTTCATAAATCAACCTTTATATTCAAGATTGCTCAAGGTTGATTCGAGTGCACACAGTATAAAAATATACAGGGCAGTCGTTCATGGGGGTGGACTTTTCGCACGACGCTTGAAGACACGTTTTGACGACACGTGCTTCCTGACGCCACGAAAGCTTTTGACGCGACACAGTGACGCCACCTCCGGGCAGTTTTTGCCTTGGTGCCTATGTTGGGCGACGCCAAAAGTTGCACACAGGCGTTGGCGGATGTTGGCGGTGACATGATCCAGTTTTTAGTGACGGAGACACACATATGTACCCGGACTGGATATTTGTGACGACCTTCGACGCCGAACAGAGCTGGCGCATCGTGTCAGTGCAGCGTGGGGCAAGTTCAATAAGCTCAGATTCATATTTGTAAACAAACACCTGTCAAGCAAAGACAGATTGAAACTTTTCAATGCCGTGGTAACTCCCACTGTTCGGACTTTCTATCTACACTGGCACTGACGGCGCGGCAGCTGGAACAGCTTGATATGTACACCAGCGGAAAATGTTACGAAGCATTGTTGGATGGAGTCGCGACGCGGACGAATCTTGGGAGGAGACGATGCGACGCATGAACGCCCGGGTATCGTCTGCTCTCCGGCAACATCCCGTCCAGTGCCCACCGTGCTAACCAGCACAGGTTCGTCATGAACCTGACTGCAAAGAAATGCTTGGTCACTATGCGCTGCAACCTGCATTCCCCCATCCCAAAACAATTTCAATAGTGAGCCGAGATGACGGCTAGGTCGCCCCGCCAAGCGATGGGATGATGAGTTGGGCGGGGGCGCCGCTGTTCCTGGTACAGTGGCGCGGGAATCAACCTGCATGACAAATACCTCCGGACTTGGGGCGGTGAGCAGACGACGACTGCTTGCCTCCCCCGTTTCGCCTTGCCCAAGGCGTAAAACTGGGACTTCACAGTTTTGTTGGTCGCCGTCGGGGCTTTTCTCTGCCGCGAAGACCTGCTTCGCATTGACGTGTGGACTTGGCGCTAGGGACTTGGTGGTTTCGGCACGTGGAGTGGATCTCGACACCATTATGATGCACATGAGCCACATGGCACGGCACTGGCGACGGCACGGAGCTAGTGGCTAGTGGTTCGCACATGGTGGGTGCACTGGCTGGTTGCATTCGCACCTGTTGGGCTTCCTCTTCTCGGCGCTGACTCTGCCTGTCCATCGCTTCGAGCCCTTTTACATTGTGTGATGGCAGCACTTGTGCTGCAGGGCTGGGCTTTTGACTTCGTGATCGTCTGTGGATGATTGTGGTCCGCTGGCCCTTTGTACTGAGCCGACCAGGCGGCGGTAGTGTGTTTTCTTCTCCGCCCGCCCTCGGGGCGGGCCTTGTGGGTGCATTTGACCTGGCGCTCACTGTCAATGTCTGTGCTGCCTTGTTGTTTTGGTTCCTCTCTCTCTCTCTCGCTGTTGTTGATTTGTTGGAGGGAGACTTGCCGGAAGTGTTGTGTGCGCCAAGCCTGGGTGATGCGTCTGATCATTTCGCGGATGTTGCTGACACCTGCAGTGGATTGTTGGAGTCTACTGCGGCGCTCGTGCAGCAGGACCCTGGCACGCTCGACGGTCATTCTTTGCTCTGCGCAGAACGCTATGGAATTCACAAAGGTTTCGAATGGTTTCCACCTGTCGAAGACAATGTAGCACGGAGGTCCTGTGGAACGATGTTCAACAACCACGGCGGAGCGGGCCATTGCATTCAAAGCTGGGCAGACTGCAGTCTTGCGCACCTCCAGGCAGAGTGCTGTCCGGACCTGTTTTCATGGCAGGTCTCTACAGTTCAGCACCTGGCGGACAGGCACTCGGAACACTCGGGAGTCAGGCAGCAAGCAGTCGACAAGCAGATCAAGCTGCTCGGCAATCAGCTTCGTAACCAAAGACCTATGCAAGCATGGAAGTCGAAGATGTGGTGGCAATGGGCCAATGCGCTCATCAAGGATGGCGCTCGAGGGCTTAGCCGGGCAAGCTCGTGGCATTCCACGAGGAAGGTTCGAGGCGGCTGCAGTTTCGAGGGAGATCATCGTTGCGGAAGGCGGTGAGCAGAAACACAGTGCAGCTCTTCCGAAAACTGCGGTTCGGAAGATTGAGGCTCGCAGTCATCGCAGGCGGTGCAAACATGGGGAACTCGAAGAGCCCAATCCCTGGCAGCTGCCAGGTCGCAGGTGTGTTCGCAAAATATCCACAAGGAAGTATGCCCGTTCCTCTGAGACCAGATGAGGGCAGAGAGCTTTGGCTCCAGTCTCTTCTGGCATTATCCGCAAAGGCCAAGAGAGTACGTGTGCGCAACTCCGGTTGTGTAAAGCTCCGACATGAGTTTGTCTGACGAACTCAAGCGGCTGGGGTATGCTCTGGGGTTGGGCACTCCAGGGACACTCGGGGTTGGGCACTCCAGGAACTATCCGGGCATGCTCTGGGGTTGGGCACTACTCCAGGGAGACTCTGGGGTGGGATACGGGTGATGAGCAAGGAATAGACCGGGCGAGGAAACAGTTTAGTTCAAAACCTACCAACCCCACACCCAGGGTGGGGAACAAAAGCAAACTGTACACGATTCGGTGCTCGCATCGCTCGATGTTGCACAAACTTAGTTGTTCGCCATTCTACGCGCTGTTTGGAGTCCGCGCTGCACGGCATTTGCAGCTGCAAACAAGACGGTACTTGAGGAGATCCTTTATGCCCTGCAAAGTGCAGCAAAATCTCCTTCCACTCCGCGTGCGCTGCTGAGGCACGGAGAGGACTCCGGCCGATTGTGACCTTGTGGCGGCCACAAGCACGCCCCCCAAATCACACACAGCCGCGGCTTTTCGTGACGTCGGGCAGGGGACTGGCAAGTCCAATATTGCGCAGTTGTGCGAATACGAGCAGCGTCGCGCCCAAAAAGGATGACCAAAAGCGTCGACCATCTGCTGGATTCTGCTGGTACAGTGGTAGAGGCAATGCAAAACGAACACCTCAATGTTGGACCTGCTTGAGTGTGGCATGCGCCCCTCCCCCTCACCCTGCCCGCTCCCACCGTCCCCTCGCAACCCTGCCCTCCCCCTTTATAATGTAGATTTTAAGGGTTCCCTGCCGCCCCAACTGCCCCCACTACTGCCTTGCCCACCTACCAGACCCCTCCCGGTCCATGAACAATATTGAACAATGTAGCAAGCATGAACCTGGGCACTGGTCGCTTCTTTGGTTCATGGCGCCGCGTGCGCCTGTGGACGCGCTGTGGTAACGTAGTACTATAGGGGCCGGCAGCATGTCCAAGACAACTATATCGATGTGTGACGTCGTGCATTTCCTTGCAAACAATGACCAGCATGAAAAGGAATTGTGACGAGCATAAGATTAAACGAGACACATGATGTCAGTGACTTTAGCATGACGAAGATTACATAGGAAGTGAGGAAAATAGACGTCACACCGATGGAGTGTGAGAGGAGACTGAGAAGGGATGAACAGCTGTGAGCGACTCACTTCGTTCTTGTGCTCATTCTTTGCTCGTTTGTGTCTGACTCTTGCCTAGTTTGTGCTATATTTGTGAAAGATTGTTCTGTGACTTGTCTTCAAATTCATTCTACTATTCCACAACTCCGGCGTTTTTGTGGTTTATCATTTTGTGCCCGCTCGCTTTTCCAAGGATGTTCCCGTTTTTCTCACATTCTCACGTGCTGTCAGTTTCTTCTTGTGTCCTCACCTTATCTCGCTTCCTTATAACACGTTTCTCTTCTTGTTGCCTCCGGAATGGTGGGCGCTCATTTTCCCTCCACAGATTCCTCCACACAGTAAAGCTTCTTCATATAGGAAAGCCAACTATAGTTCTTCCGTAACTCCTCAATACAAAATGGATACAGAATGGTAAGTGCGAAAATTCGGAAATTACATTGGTCGGCCACATCGCTGCTTTTTTGCTCCTGCACTGAGGCCGCCGTCCTGCTATGGGCAGTCCCATCTTGCATGCATTTCAGAAACACGTTGATCGTCCGTTGATCTGCATCTCTTCACAGAACACTGAGAATTTCCGAAATGCGAAGTTGTGTCAGATTTTCGACGAGTATCTGCACAGCTGGAAAATCAGCGACGGATTCTGAAACAAGGGAATGCAGGAGTGTGCACCTAGGGATCTGTAGGGTCGCGCTTCTTGCGGCTAGATCTTAAATGTCAAGATATGTCAAGATCAGGCTAAGCGGGTCATAGTCGGGTCAATGGTCAGCATCATGATGGCCCTCACACGCGAGGAGGGCTTCAGTCAGCTTCTCATGAAGCTCCTGATCACGGATTTCTTTGCAGAAAATCAGAAAACTTTGAAAGAACATGACCACCGTTCATCACCACTGCTGCGCTTCCCTTGGGATCCTGTCTGGTCTCGTATCTTGGCAGGTAGAGCTGGTTGGCACAGGCACGGCTGCGAGGGAAGCGTCCTGAACAGCGCTCTCTCTTGCCTTTCGTCTGACAAGTTGATTGCCACCAGCTTGCAAAGCCTGCTCCCGGGGATGCGGTCAGCTTCAAACTCGCAAGGCCTGGCAGTTCAGAGTTCAAGCAGTTCAAGCATTGCTGGGTTTTGAAGACAGCTAGGCAGGACCTCCTGGCGGCAAGCGTGGGCACGAAGTGGCGAAATCGAGGAAACGGGCCCGCAGCGCCTTCGCACATCAATACTTGAGGAGAAAAACCAACTTCAACAAAAACCTACCCACGCACATGCCCGCAGATATTTTCGTTTAGCGAGTGTCGTATTCCAAACCCAGATGACGCTACACTCCATACTCCATGGAAATCTTCAGCTGCCAAGTAGTCCGCACATTTAGTGCAAGGACTGGAGGATAGCAGTTCCATTGGCAAAATGCAGCTCGTCATCGAAAAACGAGTCGTCCAGTCTCTCAGCACCATGGTGAACCACAAGTACCAAAGACTTAGAGCAAAATGCCTTCAATCTGCGTTTGAGGTGTCGGCTTGATACAGGATCCAACGGCGCGAAAGCTTCATCTATCAATAACAGCGGTGGGCACTCATGTCTGAGGAAAACTTTCTGGATGAACTCAACCTTGCAACGCTCTCCTCCCGACAGCTCGCCGTACCAGTCTTCCTTGACTTCATCCAAGTACCGGGTCTCATCTTCCAAACCCTCACTGGGCTTTGGCCCAGCTGTCAAGCCGAACTCCTCCAGTAGTTGCCACGCACGCGCTCGGGCTGCTCTTAGCTCCTCCGAATCTCCGTCTCCGGTTCCGTCCAGCCTCTCGAAGAGAAGCCAGGACATAGGAGAGGTAAACATGGGCCAGTAAAACTGCTGTGCAATCTCAACAATGTCGCTTGACGGCATGCTCAGCACAGCGTTGGAAAGAAGCTCAGCACCGGCTGGAGTCCACGCGCCGTCTCTGCACGATGCCAGATATGCTAAAGCGGTGCTTTTGCCACAACCGTTTGCTCCAGTCACCGCAACGACACGGCCCATCGGCAAGGTCAAGTTCGGGATGTGGATGTGGGCCTGCCCTCGTGCATACTCTAGGGATGATATGTGCACAATCTGGCTGCCTTGTGTAGTTGCGCACCGTGGGTGCTTTTGCGCATGGAGCGTCGACTGTTGATGAATCAGGTGGCGGACCACAGACACCTTGGTCTGCATGCTTGCAAGAGTGGCCTGCTCGCGCTGGCGTGTGAGGACGGCGTCAATTGCATTCTCTAAGACCGTGGTGTACAAGTAGATATCAGCGTTGCAGATGTAATTCGTCTCCATGAGACACGCAAGTGTACATTCGATTCCAGGCCCAAGAAGCTGTTGACGGTACATCTGGTCGGCCATGGCATGCAAGAGCTGAATGGACTTCAAGCGCATACCCCGATCTTCGATCTGAACCCCGACTTGCTGCCACTGTCTTTGAGCGAAACGGGAGGCACGTGATCTCTGAATGAGATCTTCACTCTTCATGTCATGTAACTCAATTCGTCGCCTCTTGTTGGCAAGCTCAAGCAACTGGCGATGTAGCATTTCCACCTCGGCCGTCAAGTGGGCTGTGACCCAGGCTTTGCAGGTGTCCATCAGCATGCTTGTGGGCACAACCGCAATCATCAGCCAAGGCTTGGCTCTCACAACACCTGGTACGAGCATCAACTTCGGTAGTGAGGCAAGCTTGGTGGAGATGATCCCGAAACTCATCTCAACTGCCCCATTGATGGCATCTGCATACTGCTCCACAGTGAAGTTGGAGCTGGCAGCTGATTTCAGCATTGTGCCCGCGCGACCCTCTTGGGGGAAGAAGCTATGAAGGCGCAGCATACGCTCTGTCCAGTGCCGGAAGCGCCCGAAAGCGTGGGATTGGATGCCCGTCATGACCGTTCTCTGAAGGAGATATGGCAGACACATAAACAAGACCCAGCGTCTCGCACGCAACACGTAGCCCTGGGCTGAAAGTGAGGCTCCTGGTCCAACTGTGAGCAACGCGTTTTGCCGGTCCTGAACAGACCTCAAAAAGGCAATGCTTTGATACCCTAAGGAAATCTGTATGTTCGCTGTGACGATGAGCATTTCGACGGCAGAGCTGTGAAAATGTTCGTCCCCAGCAAAATTGGACACAGTGACATGCACCGTGGCAATTTCTTCAATGGGCAGGAATTGATTCAATATAGGCGTAAGCATCGGGGCAACAGCCAGCCCAACCGTGCCGACAGCAAATGCGACAGCCAGATACAGCCTCCCGGAAAGACCTGAGAGGCAGCTAGATATCAATATGCCTAATACGCCTACTACGCCTATACGTATAGACAGCAGCCAGTACCCGGCATCGATGATGCAGTAGGTGACACCCAAACTCAGCACTGTAAACACCGTAGATTGCAATGGTGTCCTCCATTTCAGTACAGCCACATATGAAGCCACTTGGCTAGCAAGTAGCATTCCGTAGCTGGAGATGCGCCGGCCCAGTATAAGGTGCTTGTTCAGAAGCGCAACCATGCCAATCATCGAGCCGGTGAGAACTCGCTGTTGAAAGCTCTCTTCAAGATGAGCTGGCACAGAAACTCTGGAGAACATCACCGGCAGTGCCAAGCTGACAATGCTCCGATCGTGCCAAGCGAAGAGAATGTTTCCAAGACCATAAACGGAGGCTCCAGACACGACATCTGCCCCGGCAAATGCACAGGCCAACAACAAAACAAGCAAAGCACTGGCGAGTGCTGCTGCGCTGTCAGGGTCCATGAGCTGTCATACGAAGCTCTACTCCAGCCAAAGGGTCTGCCCATGTCCGGGCTTGAGGACTTCAGAGCTCACATCCATGCATATCTACGCAACCATCTTTGAGTTTTCACGGACGCTAGTTTTGCCAAGTGTTTGCACTTGGGCTATCGGCTCCCGTCTAGGCTGCATGCTCGATTTAAGAGTCAAACTCGCGATCCCTTCGAGGCACGAGCGTGATTGTGGGTTTCGGGGGTCGCGATTTTCATTGATGAAGCCAAGAAGTCCAGGATTTTCTTTGCTCTGTAGTACAAGATTTATTTGTACTGGAATTCTGCTTTCGAGCACAGGCACAAACTTAGTACAGGAAGTGGCGTTTCCGTGAGCCTTGAGTTACGATTAACCATTTTGTGGCTTCTTCTTGTTTGGGGCAACCTCTGAGGATGGGGAGGCCCTCAGAAGCGCTTCAATAAGAGGCTTTTCAAAACGGCCGTAGGTTGGGCCGGGAGAGAGTCCGAGGCAGGCCACAGAGCGCAAAAATCAGAGAAACGAATAAACACATATACAGGTATTTTGTGAAATGGCAGTGGGTCAAAATTCGGGTTGTCGCGGGGGGTCCGCCCCCCCTCTGTTACAAGCCTTGTCGCGGGCAGCTTGTTTCATACCTTTGTCGCGCCGCTACTTTGAACCCAATTTTCTTATTTGGGTTTTGTAAGGGTTTAGGGTAAAGGGTTTAGGTTTAGGGTTGGGGTTTCGGGGATTTTACCGGAGAGCCATTAAATATAAACACTGGGCTTCTCGTTCAAGGTTGTCCTACGGATGGGCACCTGCTGGCTCGAGCAGTCGCGCGGGTTGTCGCGGGTATGTCGCGCCCTGTCGCAGGCCTTGTCGCGGACTTAGAGTGAAAGTTGCTGCAGACACGCATCAAGGTCGCATCGAGATTGGCAATGAGAAAATTCAATGGTATTGCTCTCTTGTCGGGGGGGGGGGGTTGTAGCCTTGTCGCGGGGAGGGTTGTCGCGGACACGGCACGTCTGTTACAAACCTTTGTCGCGGAGGGACCCCCCGGTGCCTGTTACAAGCCCGGAAAAAAAACTCACAGCCAAATGTCTATAATTATTGCATAATACACGGCACCAACCCGTCGACTCCAGAATGCAACCTCGGATTTGGGGCGAACGGGTTCTTTGGGAATGTCGGGCGAGAGCGCGTGCTCGGGGGGCGGGATGCACATCCTTGTTTCGGGTGAAGCTCCATCCCCGGAATGCCAAAGTGAATGAACCCCCCCCCCCCCCCATGCTTTCTGTGCATCCCCGTGCAGCGGAACTTGCCTGCGACATTTCCAAGAGCTCGTCGCGGAGCCAAGCCATGACATCATCATCGCGTGACAAACCACCAGCTGCATGGAGGTGGTCGTAAAGATCCTAGTAAGAGAAAGAGACTAGAGTCTAGAGTAAGGAGGGAGCTCAAAGGTTAGGAGAAAGCTGAAGTGGGAGGGAGGCAAACTCCCCAAACAAGCCATTCTAATCAACTGTAGCAGAAGTCCAAGTCCTGGCTGGTCCACGAGACAGACTCTACGCCGCAGAATAGCTCCCTCAACCTGAGTCCAGCAGGTGCTTTGGCAGCAGATCCAGCATGTCTTCCCGTGAGCCATCCAGGCACCAGGCTCTAGCGGTGAGAAGAGCCAAAGCGCTCCGGTTCTGGGGCCTAGAACATCATGGAGACCACGGCGGAGTGAACGCACCTGGCCATGAGCATCGTGGACGTTCGTGGACAACACTGATACTGTATTTGCATCATTCCGCATCCCACCCCAACACCACCGATAACTGCACAATCCGCCAAAACGCCCTCCTCATCATCCTCATCCCTCCCCCTCCCCGCCTTCAAAACTCACGAAGTCCTTTCCAAACCACCCCTGAATTGAGTCAGCTGCTGCGCCTGCTCCCTGACACCTGTATCGAGCCAAAACGAGCACGCAGCATCCACAAAGTCATCCAAGCCTCATTCCGAGCTCACTTCTCCGCTGCACACGGAGAATCTGCATGAGAAGCTGAATCAGTCGGATGCGCCCTGCTAGCCGAGCACGCTGCTGTCCAGGCTTACGTGCCGTGGTTGGTCCGTGCCGAAATTGGACCTGCCGGAAGATTTTCTTTTGACAACTCCTTGGCCCCTCGCCAGTCAAAGTCTGATAAGGCCAAAGCGAGCTAGAAGGCAGCGAGGGCCCGCTGAAGCCCGTTGCTACAAACTCGGCGTTGCTTGCCCATTCCTCGCTTAAGGCAAAAGCGGTACCCATATACCCGAAAGAAGCTGCTCTCTCTCAACTGGAAGAAAAGATGAAGAAAAGGCTGAGGATGTCTGAGGCTTAGGCCGTGAAGGATCCTGACGCCTCGGAGGCCTCCAGGTATCGAGCAGCCCAGCCAGGGTCCTCCGCCAGATCCTGCCTCCAAGCTGCGAAGCACCAAAAAGCGAAGCTGACCGAGACACTGAGAGCTGTTTGAGCTATTTGAGCTATGTGATTGTAGCAAGGAGCAGGTTTCTGCACCCAACGTGTCGCCATGAGCTCCGGTCATCGGGACAAGGTTTTCCAAGCACTGCAAGCCGTTCGGCTCTGCCCGGTCTCAAGTCTCAAGCAGGTAGAATGTCTGGAGCTTGCACTTTGCTGGTGGAATCTTGGACTTTGGATTCCTCAGAAGCAGCTCAGGTTTTGCTGCCCGGAGGGCAGCAAATGGCGCCCTCGTCGGCCCTCAGCCGCGCTTCTGCACGAATTGGGGAGAGCCCAGGTTGAGCGCCAAAAATCTCAGCCTGGCACGGGTTTCAAATCAGAATGCAGCGGACAATCAACTCAATTTCACAGCCGCTTGACATTCTCACCCCGGCATTTTCTCTAAGGATCGTGCAGCGTCCAAAACTGTACCTTGGATTCAGCCACGAGGTGGGAAGTGGACAAACGAGTCGAGAACCATAAGCCGAGCTGAAGACAAGACAAAGGACATGAGCCACACCCGAACAGGAACTGCAAATCGCCATGAATCCAAACAGTCGCCCCCTTTTTGCACTTTCTGAAACGAGTGCTGAAAGGTTAGCGGTTGTAGTGCTTATCTGTTGTGCTCTCCTCTTGTCCGGTCTGATCGCATCCGGAAGCTCTCGGTACGGGACCCGCGAGCAAAACATGACTGTTACCATGACTTCAGCCGCAAGTGACAATGGCGATCTGTGTGCAGCGAAGCTGTGGGTTGGGGGACTTCTGGGAAGAGTTGTTGGGCATAAGGGTCTTGGCATTGTTTCGTGATGTGCCGTGTATAGAGATGCGATGAGATATGCAGCGTATGGACTCTAGAGTACAGCACGTGAAGGTCATGGAAGAACCCAAGTTTAAGCTGCGAGGCTTCTTGGGAGGCATCCAGCAATGGAGTAACGGCCACGTATCGTTGGTGCAATCGGAGACAAAGCCAATATCGACCATCCGTGACGATGCCCAGCAATGGATCGGCTGTCCTTGCACACATTTGGCACATATTCTCCAACGCCAAGACTTCGTCACGTATCAGCAACGGCTGCCACACGCTCTCACCCTCCCCCGTGCATCTGATCGGTTGATTAAGGCTGCAGCTGGTGGCGTGTGTCCATCCACAAGCCCAGCAGCTGTAGGATGCACTGAGCTGCTCCTTGAGCCAGGTAACCATCCGAGCAGCGTTTTGCCTCCAGAGCCCCCAGCACTTGGCCGCCTTGGCCGCCTTGGCCTCGTCGATCTCGTCGACGCAAGACGTAGTCACAGATACTGACAGGAACCGGAGCGCACCGCACGTACTCCTCCAAGGTGACTTGAACATCCAGCTGGTCAAGTAAGGGAAACACCAACTTGTCAATCACGCAGCGTGATGCTGCTTCTTTGGCACCTAGCTTTGAGAGACCTGCTAAACGATGGAACGGTGCACGTGGTGCGTTAGGTGCGTGTGGTGCACGCTTTCCCGTGTCGGTTGCTACCTTGGTTCCCAAATCGGCTTCGCAGCCCAGGATAAGAAGAACTTGGTCGAGCTCTCTCAAGTATTGCTCTTGCCAATTTGTATCCTGGCAGAGTCCAGGTAATGCGCCAGCAACGGCTGACGCTTCTATGGCTTCCGTAGTCCAGGATTCATAGGACTCTGTCTTCAACCACATCTCCAGGGACTCCAGGCTCCTGCTTTGGGCGCTGGTCTTTGAGCACCAGGGTAAAACCCAGAATTCCGGGATGTATTCAGCTAACTGTGTCAAAGTCCACGTGCTACTGCTTCTCATTGAGTCAGCGGTCGAGACCATGGTGGTGCTGTTCTTTAGTGCGGCGTACTCCGCCCACAGCCTTTCAAGCTCCTCGAAGTCCTCAGATGTGCGGTTGCAGACTCACAAGTCACATCGTTTGCTTTGGGGAATTTGGAGAGTTTGCTCGGTTGAAGACTGGCAGGTTGGGCCATCAAGCGAAGGCACCGGCGGCATTCTGGTAGACGGATCGAAGGGTGGCAAGAAAAAGGTACAAGTTGAATCAGACAAGGTCTTTCTACATTGCTTCTATACATCTACCATCACATCAAACCGCCTATCCCGATGAGAGGTTGGTCTGTGAAGGGAGGATCAGGGAGGGATGCACTGCCTTCAGTTCACTACTTCAGAAGGCTCACAGGGGTTGAAAGGGGCATGAACGAGGAGTACTTCAAGCATCAGGCAGGACACTGTCTTGCCAACAGCCCAACCCCTCTTCTTGTGCAGGTCAAGCAGTTGAAGTCTCGATGAAGCCAGAGCCCGCTGCGTCTCTGTCTCAGATCGGTAGACCTGGCTCTGCACCTTGCAGGTAGCGTGCATGCAGCAGATGGAACTTGGGGGCCCGCAGCACCCACCTCCTGCTCATTCCGGGCCAACTTCTGTGTGATCGTCAGGGGCAGGTCCTGCGGTTCGTCCCATGCCTATCACCAGAAGCCTAAATCCCTACTGTAAGCCCTAAACCCTGAAACCCTAAAACCCTCAAACTGCAACCCTAAACCAACCAAAAC